ATATATATAGGATTCATTTGGATCATGAGTATTGGAAAAGAACAAATGGCCAACGCTTCCAAGATATTTCGTGAATGAAAGAAGCATGTATTTTTCGAGTGTTAACTCGATAAACAAAGCCTTTTGTTCATTTATATATATCTATTGAGATAAGAAAAAAATTGATAACAAGGATTTATTCGCTACGAAAATTGTAACTAGATGTATCTTAATTTATACATTTATATCGATCGAGCGAAAGATCGAATCGAATCCCCAATCTAATGTATCGACGACAAAAACATCGAAAAATTAAAATCGAGAAGAAAGAACGATATAACACAGGTTTCGCTTTCAGAAAAAATTTTTTTTTTCATCACAATTAAATCGACGTTTTTTAATCAAGTTTTGGAGGTAACGGACATAAATGTAGTCAAAGTGATTCGTTTTTTGCATCACGCACCTTTTTATTCTACTCGATGATGCAGTTTATGAAAAAATTCAAGAATAAGTGACTTATACACACGCGGATGATATTAATTTGTACCTGTATGAGAAAATAATCGGAAAGGCACGATACTCGAGGCGATCTCAATCAAAGGCACGTATAATTGATAGACGATGGTGCAGACAAGAGTCTCCTAGCAATGAGTAAGCACTGCAATTTATCTCTCAATTTTTATTTAACATACTGTATAACCGAGCAGTTCAATACGTGTACAGCGTGGATCAAATCCCAAGCACGTAATCGTATAAATGATAATTAAAAAGATTGATTAATTTTTAATATGTACAAGAAAAAAAAATAATTTGAAAAAATTGATAATAAAATTTTTGGTTATAAAATAAATGTATCGAAGAAATATTTAATAGGTAAGAAATTTCGTACGAGACTTATCATGAGACACACGATCGAACATTAGAATAAGAGTGGTACAAATTAATAATCGCGATTATTTATATACTTCTTTTTTTTTTATATATTATAGATCGATATTTCATCGTTCGGTGCGTGCGATTTGATTCGTCCTGCATGAAAGTTCGCGAAACGCTGCAACGCAGTACAATCGATAGTCATAATCGAGATTCAGGGAGGCCAATGTGCGTTTCGATCAATCGTCGTTTTGCGATTCGAATCATCCAGAACTCGCGGAATTGAATAGATCGTAAAACGTTAAGCCTTATAGTTTATAACGCAATCTATAATTAACGATTCTTTCAAAAAGAAAGATAGAAAAATAGACGTGTCTCTAAATACAATACAATAATATCTCTTGGCGCGTTTGGAGATCGTTTTCTTTCTTTCACGGAAAACGATATTCTTTCGTTGCCATAATTTAAACGTAATTCGGAGCGAAAGCAAATTCGAAACGTTTAGACGGTTGAAATAAAATCGATCAGTCGACACGATAAAAAAAAAAAAAGAATTCAAACGAAATTGTTCGATTTTATTTTATTTAAAAATAAAATATTGGAACGATCCACACTATTGTCTGTTTTTGTCTCGTTCTACGTGTCGCTATATGGATATTTGGTCGAAGGATCGAAAGGTTAGCGATTAATTCTTATCTGGTAAGTAATTAGTATTAGTAGTTATTTAAATATTAAAGATTTTTTTCACCCGGAGTTCAAGTCACCGCGTCCCATCGCAGAAATGAAAAGAAACGAAAGTGAAAAGATTATTGTGATTAATTGTGAAATTGTTCATAGTAACGATGGATCGATTCGTGCATAAATGGAAAGTGATAAGTTGTTTGGAAGTGGATAAGAAACAAAAAACAATCGAAATATAAAATATAATAAATTAAATTATAAAATGTTAAAACAAAATTAGACGACATTGAATAGTCGGTCCCGTCGTGACGCTTCCCGAAGTTGCTCGAAATTGGGTGTTTGATTCGCGTTAATCATTTTTTTCTTTTAGTTATCTACAACTAAGGGCAGTATGTACAGGGGACAAAGGAATGTGAGATTTATCTTTTCCTCCATAGCCGCTATACGACAGGCCAGCAGTATAATCTATTCGATATAAATATCCTCTATCGGGAAAGCAGTCTCGATGAACTTCGTGTAGAACCGATGAAAAGCACGCCTATGAAAAAGAAATATTGTACATTTAAATAATAATAATCACAATAATCATCCTTTTAATAATCTTTTTATAAGTTTGATGATTTGATCGTTTTAAAAGATGATTTATAATATATGAATATAACTTTCATGATGAACAAAGAAATTTAAATTACGTAATCTTTAGATAAAATCAGAAATAATAGCGAGAAATAAATTAATTTCTATCCAATTGATTTTCAGAGAAATGAAATGAAATAATGTATTATGATGAAAACATCATAATAATAATAATAAGAAAGAATAAAATGATATACATACCCGACAGCTTCGGCAACGGGCCTTGTAGATTCTTGGCCAATGAACACGTGGCAAGCGAACCTTTGCAAGGTAGGATGCTTCGTGATGAAGCCGAGGTAGCGATGATCGCGAGGATGAAAGGCGCAGAATGAGACATTCTTAAGCGAGTAGAAATAATCATGGCAAGGTCCTTGATTTTTCTAAAAAAGAAAAAAGAAAAAATAAGAACGTATTATTGAATTCGAGAACTATAATTTGCAAGAGATTATTACTCTGTTTATATTTTTGTTTATTATAATTTAATCGAATCGATTATCTTCAATTACCCGTGGTTTACTTCTATCGACCATTCGAAGACCTTGATCGGACACTTCTAAAATACAACTTTGTGAAACAGGTGACTCTTGTGAATTTCCGACGATTCTTCGAACCGCTTGACAAACAACACCAGTGCCTTTGTGTGCCAACGTCTCTACGGAACCCAAATAACCTAAAAGGTATCGTTCCCTTTTCACTTTTGGTGCCGATGGATCAAAATCACTGTAATCCATGTCGACTGCATAAGCCGAGGGGAAAATACCTTGTCGACCTGTTCTCAGGTTCACACCTTCAATGCAATAAGTATATAAGAAAAATAGGTTATGTATTTTTAGAGAAAGTCTCAAAACTTTGATAAAGATTGATTTGAAACGATAAATAATGTTCGAACCTTCACACCATAGGTCATCGGCCTCTTTTTGAACGTAAATAGGATCGCCAATTTCAAGATCGATCTCATCGTGGTGTCTTGGCACGAATTTGTGTAATCCTCGATGCGTTGCCTCCAATAGTTCGAGTTGAGTAAACGGTACACCGCCGCTTCCTTCGAAGCGACATTGAGAGCATTATGATGAAAATTATAATGAAAATTGTAAGTAACAATAATATTTTATTGAATTGATAAAGAAACAAAAATTTTTATCAAATAATATTTTTCAAAAATGATGTTTTCGTAATAAGTTTGCCAAAAAACGAGAAAAAGTCACCTGGTGTACTACTCGGCGAAACAGAATCCGTGTTCTGTAATGTGTTACAAGGTATCGGTGATACACTTTTTGGCCCATTTTCTGGCGAGTGAGCAGTAGAATGGCCACTGTCGGTGGCCATTCGCTCGCTATCGGGTGAACTATCCTCATGACGAAGCCTTGAATGACATTTTCGTAAAACTAAATGCGGTCGGTTGGAATTAGAACCAGTTGCTGCGTTCAATTCGTCTGCCAGAGACGACGAGGATTGCATAGACGTTTGTCCAATAGGTAGAGCTGGAAGAAAAATGTTTTATTTATAAAATTATTCTATAAAACGAATAATAAACGAATATAATTTAATTGAAGCGACGAATGAAACGATGACTACCTTCTTCTGCAACAACAAGATTCTTGAAAGCGTGAGAACTTTATATGTTCACCTTCCGAATGTA